TTTTGTTTCTGGTGGCTCGAGCCAGGGTTTCTTCGCTCGAGCGAGTGTTTGCGTCTAGTATAGACCTGAGAGCAGTGTTTCTTTGCTCGAGCGAGAGTTTCTTCGATCGAGCGAGCTTCTGGGTTGCAGACCTGAAGCATCGAGTTTTTGGCTCGAGCGAGGTTTTCTTCGCTCGAGCGAGGCTTTCCTGTGTCTGGTCGCTCGAGCGACCAAGTCTTCGCTCGAGCGAGCCTGTCCAGTTTAAATAGGCAGCAGCGGGTTTTGATCAGCCTTTTCATCCTCTTCTAGTTTCCAAACCCTAGGTCCAACTTCTCTCTCTCTAAACTCATCTTCTTTCTAGGTTTTCATCTACTTCTAGTGTGAATCCATCTTAAGTTCTTTGTAAGAAAGATAGAGGGCGGCTTGGGCTTCATTCTAATCTGAAAAATAGTGGATTTGGAGCACTTGGATTTCGGGTCATCTTCTCCATTTTTGTTCTTCGTTCGAGGTAGGGATTCTCCTTGTTTCTTTTCAATACTTCGTCTATAGATAGACATGTGGTAGTTTTTGTATTGCATAAAAATGGTATCATGTTGGATTTGTGAAAATCATTGGGACCGAACCTGGGGTTGGTTGTTGAATTTGGGTTTATTATCATTAGTTGTGGTTTGGGCTAATTGGAGTGTTAAGTAGCATGTAGTTGTTGAAAGGAGAGGAAACCCTAATTTCTTTTATTTGATTTAATAAATTAATTGAGGGGTTTTGATCTTTGGGAAAATACTTAGGTATTTTGAGTCTTAATTGTGGTTATTGTTGTTTGTTGATGTTAATTGGGCCTTTTTGGTCAATATTGAGAAAGAGGAAGGAAAGACCCTAATTTATTGTTTATGAATTAATGTGCATAATTAGTTTGAAATGGCTTTGAAAAGAATGTAGCCAATTTAAATGAAGTATGGCTTTTGTCCATGGGAATGATTTTTGTGAAAACAAAGGAAGTAGAATTCATTTTGTGAAATGGGAAAGGTATTTTGAAACAAGTATAATAAAATTGGAATGTTGTATCTTGAGTGTTGAACACACTTGTGTGGGGTATAGCTTTAACTACCATGTTCATGTTGTTGCTGAGTTTTGTAATCTCATGTTAGTTGGGTCTGTTAATAGATGTATAATATGCATGCATCTGGAGATTTTGGTCATCAGTGGAGGATGATAAGGTTGTGTTGAATTGTTGTGTACGTATTACACCATTGTTGATTGAACATCATATGTAATGAAATGTTGAATTACATTATATTTGTATACCGGTTGAGGAGAAGAGAGGGGTTGTACTCCAGTGTGTGTGAGAAGATAGGGGATGGACTCCACACACTTATGTGTTCAGCGCTTATAATCAGAGGTGTCATACCCTTCCAGCTAGCGCCTGGTAAACTGGTAGATTGTGGTGAGAAGTGTATCTTTGGCTTACTATGCATATAGCTAGTTGTGCAGTGTTGTTTTGTTATTGTTTCAGTGTATCTGGAAACATTGTGGATTGTATTTGTTACAGTGTTTGAGGGACGAGTTGACTCATTGATTGATTTTATGTATGTAGTTGAGTTGTTCTCTTTTTATAGAGGTGTGCATGGATAGTTATGATATAATTGGAATTGCATTGAAATGCCAAATTTGTTTTGAAAAGGCACATCTGTTGTATGTGTGGCAAATGGAAGAGTAACGGGCTTAATGAATCTATTTTTCTAAGTAGTTGTTAATGTTATAAAAGATTGGGAACGGGGGTTAATGAGAGGAAAAAGGAAGGATAAATCGCTTATAGCGGTGAATTAAATGATTGTTTTCAAGAAAAGTTCATATATATATATTCATATATATATTTTGTATATACTGTCACATTAATATTCTAGTATGAGAATGGGTGTTCATGATCATAGCTATCTGTAATGTTGTTATTGTTAAGGAGAATGTTGAGTTCCCTACTGGACTATATGTTCATCACACGTTGTTGAATCTTTTTCAGGTGTTTAGCAGGGTGTGCTACAAGTTTTGGATCTTCTTATTTGTTGGCCACGGGGCCTCAGTTATGTTGGCTGAATGCCATTGTTGTAAAGGGTTACACCCTTCTTCTTGTACTTTTCATGATGTAAGCCCAAGGGCAATTTATTAAGTTAGAACATGTAATATTTACTTTGCTTACGAATGAGAGTATTGTTAAACACTTCTACGGATTGAATGTATGAGTTTATTTCCGCATGTTATCTCTGTAATTGAATTAAGTTAAAGAATTTGGTAATGACTCCGAGTAATAAAAAGTGGGGCGTGACACTTAGAAATGAGGCTTAAGGGTGTATTATATAGAGGGAGAGAGGGCAAGGAAAGCGGGGGGAAAACAAATTCAAATTTCCCCCCCAAAAGGCAGACTCTTGGATACAGAATCTGGGGGAAAACGGCTGGCACAGCTGGAATACACTTGGAGAGAGGATCATGGCCAGCCAAGTTCAAAAGGTTCAGGTGGCCGGCCGGCCACCCCCCATGGCCGGCCGGCCAGGGGTCAAAAGGGTCAATGAAGAGACAATAATACCACCATTAACATCATTACAACTATTAATATTATTCTCATCAAAACCATGTTTCAACATTACTATGTCTGTATGCTATGCTATCCTTGTATGAAAACATTTGTTTATATATGAGACCAATCCATTATTACTAATTTACTATAGCTAGTAATTTTACTTTTCTAAACCGTGCCACAATCTATAAATACTTTTCAAAACCTTGTCCACTACAACAATTTGCACTTTTGGTGATCGAATTTGGCAATTAAAGGAAATTTAGTCTCCAAGAGTTGTAGAATAGGAGATTAAACATTACATTGGTCGGCGTTGAAAACGATTTTAGTTACTAAATTTTTTTAGTAGCTGTATATTAATTATTGGCAACTAAAAAAAATTAGTCGCTAAATATGCCACCATAGGCGACAAAAAATTGCTTTAGTCGGCATTAGTTCATGTTTTAGGCTACTAAAGTTTGTTTTAGTCATCGCATACTATTTTTGGCTACTAAAATAAATTTAGTTGCCAAAAATCTAGTTTTTGCCTACTAAAATAAATTTAGTTGCCAAAAAGCTAGCATAATGTTTGCTATTAATCTTTGGTGATCAAAGTTTTGGTCGGCAAATATTAATTTTCAGTGACCAAACCATGTTTAGTCGTTGTAAAGTAATTTTGGCCTACTAAAATTATTTAGTCACTAAATAAAAAACATAAATTTTACTTTTATCTTTGGTGACGAAAAATTTAGTCGGTGAATATTTCTTTTCGGTGACCAAAATACTTTTAGTAGCCAAAATGGTTAGTTTTCGTGACTAAAATATTAACTGACTTTCTACCCTTCGGTTAGACTTCGGAGTCAAGAAGTCTTGGAATTCCACAGCCATATTAATGTGGCAGAATTGTAAAATACCAAAAAAATCCTTAATACCGTTTCTTCTTTGCAAGGATCCATACTACCAAACAGATCACTCTTATATGATATAGTATTTATGGCAACGCTTTTAGATTAGTGTTGGATAACTTTGTTAGTTCTTTATTTTTTTGTAAACATGAAACAAAAAGTATAAAAACTTTGAAATCTTCATTAATTCAGAGAGGTCATCTATTAATTACAACTTTGAAAATTTTCTTTTTGATGCCTTTTAATTTAAAATTTTACAACTAACCCCGTTAAGTATTTATTTATTTTTAAGTTTTTCATGATCACTGGATGAACAATGACTTCATTGTATTCTAAGATCTCATGGCTAGAACCAACCTTTGTGAGTGTTCTATACAATGAAGTATGTAATAATAGTGGAGTGCACCTCTATTTGTTTCGATGGAAAATATTTTAATGGAGTTCATAATCAACAAAAAAAACAAGCTTACTTTGATAGAAGATGTTTTCTACTTTTGAAAAATAAAAAATATTTTTTGAATTAAAGTCTTGCCAATGCTACCATCACACTACCCCTAATATATTAGTTTCAAGTCACAATTAAATATAAAAAAAAATTACTCTCTGCTAAAACAAACTGTGAATACAATGAGAATACTAGAGAATGGAGAGACCATTGCTAGGTCTCCATCATGTCAATATATATGTATATTCTTCATACTTCTCTAATTGAATTCTGTGCATATGAACATGTTGTAACAAGAAACTTATTAAGCTTTCAAATTGTACATGGTATCAAATCTAACTAAAAGAACTTGAACTTCTAAAAGAGGAACAGGTTTATAAAACTTAACCCAGTAGATGAAAAGAAATGTTGTAGTCTTTCACAACAATATAGATTTTTATTTATTTTTAAACAGGTTTTGGGGCATATAATTTGCATCAATACAGTGTGTTTCTATTGAGCATTTAACAGATAATGGTCATTTCATTGGCTGAAGTTGTTGCTTCCTTCCTTGAAGAACCAGCAACCTCAAGAACATTCCTTTCAGTGAAGAAGCCAGGTTGTTTGGCCTGAGGCAATGCACCTTCACTACCTAACATCAAAACCACATATGACATGCTTGGCCTATCCTCTCAAGATTGTTGCACACATAAAAGACCCACATAGATTGATTACAACACCTCAGTTAGGTAACATGAGTCCCATAGAGCCTCGTCAATCAATTCGAATGATCTATTTTCTTTGTAGAGTCTCCATGCCTGAATAGATTCTTACACAATCCAACAATTGTGAATGTTTTGGAATAGCGAGAAAAGAGGGATTTAAGACAGAATCATATAAGAATACTTCTAAACTCAGTACACTTACATGACCAAGGAGGTTGAGGTGGTGATCTGGATGATAAAAACCTTTATTTTTCTTCCCACTTACAATCTCTAGCACCAAAACGCCAAAGCTGAATACATCTGATTTTATTGAAAACAATCCATCCACTGCATACTCTGGAGACATGTAGCCACTGCAAAAAAATGTTGAATGAAGAACTAGATTTTGAAGCAATAGACAAAACATGTCGTATTGATTCTTACTATGTTCCGACCACTTTGTTTGTATTTGCTTCTGTCTCATTTCCTCGAAAACTTCTAGCCATTCCAAAGTCTGATATTTTTGGGTTCATGTCAACATCTAGCAAAATATTGCTAGCTTTGAGATCTCTGTGAATAATTCTCAGTCTGGAATCTTGATGAAGATAAAGAAGCCCTCGTGCAATCCCATTAATAATGTGGAACCTCTTTGGCCAATCCAGTAATCCGCTTTGGGTTTGATCTGTCCAAATGTTTGTTTGTTAAATGCTCCCAAATTTTGGAAGATCAAGTTCATGCAAATGCACAAGTAATAAAAACCACATACAATTTTGGTCCCATTATGAATAAATCCAATGGTTTATATGGAACCAAACAAAATAAAAATAAAAATAAAAAGAGGAAAAAATAAAGAAAGATCATTGCCTGGCTTGAGAATGGAATGGTTGTGATTATACACAAGTTAGGGTAAGTTATACTAACCTACCTTTAGATTTGAAGAAAATACATCGATTTTCACAAGTTTGACATAATTACCTTGGGCTCCTTTATGGTTTTAATTCATAAAATATTTTGCCCATTTTCATAAAAAAAAAAAATTCATTATTCATATCGATAAAAAAATGGTAGTAATCTCTTTTACACTGAAAGGTATATTTTGCCTTGTTTATCCCTACTACACACCATCTATATTAATTTTGATCTTTTTAGCTTTACTAAGAGGGAGATCAATGTAATTACGTCAATCTTGTAAAGCTTAATGTATTTTTTCTAAACCCAAGGGTAGTGAATGTAGTTTACCCTATATAGTATTATAGTTTCTAGAGAGCCCAACCAAAAATGAAGTAGTCCAGGCTTTTGTTGGGCATGTATTCGTAGATCAACATCTTTTCTTCTCCTTGAATGCAGCATCCTAGAAGTTTCACAAGATTTCGGTGTTGAAGTTTGGCAATACAGATAACTTCATTCTTAAACTCATCAAGCCCTTGGCTAGAATTCTTTGAGAGCCGCTTCACGGCTATTTCTTGTCCCCCTTCTAGCATACCCTGAGAATTACCATTGTAGAATGTTCTTATGTTCGAAATTAAAAGAAAACAATTTTTACCAGTGATTTATGTTACAACATTACCAAATACTTACTTAAAGACATAATTACACCAAGGTTGTCTAACAAGGTTAGGGCAGTGCATGTCCTACTTTGGGTGGGTGTGTTTGGATAGGTGGATGGATGGAATTTTCAGATTTAGAACTTCTGTTAAAGATTTAGAAAATATTGCCTTTTTCCCATCATTCCTAAGCAAAAATCCAGTCTCAAACATATTTCATTAGAGCAAATTCGAAGATAAACTTCTCAAAAGCAAGTGTATTTGTCAAAATTTTTAATTCATGTTGGTGGGTTCTGCATTAAAATATTTTAGGGAAATATTAGTATAGGAATATGAAAAAATTTCAGAAAGATGTGGTCCCATACTTCACCAAAATGAAAGCAGTGTATACTTTACTGTGAAAATTTTTCGTGTTAGAAACGTACTGTTTATGGAAAGAAGTGACAAAAAAAAGTTGAATGGTTTTATTGTTTCCACATAGGCTGGATGAGATTGGGTGTTGATCACATTTGTATAGATTACTTAAGAGTCTTTACATTGGTACCTTGTAAACAGGCCCGAATCCACCCTCTCCAAGCTTATTGTTGATTGAAAAGTTATTTGTGGAATTAGCTATTACTGTTAAGTCAAACAATGGTAACTCCAGATCATCATTCTGGCTTTTGTCAGTGTAACCTTGTTTAGAGTTTTGCATCAGATTTCCTGCAAAGCGGGGGCAAAATGGATATAAAGGATGAGACAACTAGTTCCACCAAAGTAATTTCATACCATTACAGAGTTTACCACAGAATGACACATCTATACCTTCTCTGTTCAGCTGTGAATTCTTCCTTTTCTTTTTCCGGAGATAACAGGTTAAGCTCACACCCAGCAGAAGAAGTCCAATTAATAATGCCAAGCTCACTGCCACTATCTCTATTTTCTTTCCATTGAAGCCAACTCGTTGGACTGTTGAATTTTCAATCCATGTAATAGAATGGTCAATTCAGTTAGACAATACAACAATGAATGCACAAACTTAAAGGGGTTGCTCACCATCCTATTTATTGAAACCATTATGGTTAAGGCGATGAGAAAAAGCTAAAACATAACAAACACATAAGCATACAAGGATTTACATAACATGAAAAGAAATCAATGTCAGAGATAAAGCAAAAATGAAGTCTCATTTTGCAAAGCTATAGCAAGATGTAGAATTCTAAACATAGTGAGGATCGTTTTCAGAAAAAAATGTAATTGTTCAGTATAATTAACTATATGGATATTACATATGTACAATCTAATTAATCCAAGTTCACTAATCTCTGTGTTTGATATGAATTCTTACCTAATTCAGAGGAAGCCATCCTTATGTAAATGTCTTGCCCTTTATCACTGTACTGTCTCATATCAATCAACTCATCAAACCAAAGCAAGCAGCCACTTCCACCTCCGCTTATGTCTAAACTTGTGTAAGCCATGCATGAGCAGTTTTTCAAGCACCGCATCTCACATTCCCTTAAGGTCATGCTCTTGTCAAACCAGGAGTACCGTGTGTCCGGCATTTTATAGTGCGAATACTTGAGAAAGCCATCTCCATTATGGCAATCTAACATTGTCCTCCGAACACACCCATTAGACCAATCTCCACTTATCCATTCTGTTTGGTTCTGGGGCACAAATTTACTCAAACAATCACATACCGGCGAGTTTCCAATGTTACAGTTACCATTCGGGCCACACAGTTTATAGGTATCACAAGCATCTGTTGGCGCAGACCGGTAAATGACCCATTCCTGGGTTCGATCAACCCATATCCAGCGCTGTGCAACGCCATTCTGATTCAGAGTAAGCCTTGAAACAACTGAGCTGACGAGTTGATAATGAAAATACACCTCCTCCTTAGTGTAAACCAATTCATATGTGTAGATGGAATTTAGTTTAAGGTTTAGATAACTGAATCCGAGACCATTCCATGGTCCAGTTCGGAACACCTCAACAGAACCACAGCTCGTAATAATTTGTGGGTATCCTTGAGGATCACACCGGTATGTATACTTACCTCGAGCTGGATCATCGCTGCTCTTCCAGGACGAGAGCATGCGATCTATTCCGGTTACAAAGTTCTTTCCGTGCTTCATGCCTGGTAAAAGAGTATCGCATGGATAATCAAAACTTTGCCACAAAATATTATTATTGGCATCTTTCACCACAAGATTTCCTGACTCCATAAGTTGTGCAACCGGTCCTGTAACATTGGGAGACCAAATGACACTGCCGGTACCATCGACAAGGGCAAGAATTCCAGGGTCGATTATCGTTAAGACGCCTGACGAATTGACGAGTGGGATTTCTCTGTTGGCAACCCATACAACAGTCTGGACAGATATTTTCTTGTACCATATTCCCAAGTATGTATTCCGGGAATTGCCCGGGCTGAAAAAACCCATCTCAAAGCTTCCACCAGATGAAACAATGGTATTGTTGCCTGTAACAGATTGGGTTTTGGTTATGATGTCTACTGCGTTGGAGATTATTAAGATGGAAAATAAAGAGGAAAATAAGAAAGGTATTTTGTGGCCTTCCATTGATGGTGTAATGTCTAATTCATGAAATTCATCTGTTTTTATAAATGAATGCTCAACAACTCTTACAGCACAATTATGTCTTCATCTGGTCTTTTGTATGGATACTGACTTTCTACCCTTCAGTTAGACTTCGGAGTCGAGAAGTCTTGGAATTCCACAGCCATATAATTCTTATCTGAATCATATTCGCATGAATCGCATCTTAATCATGGCATCATATTGAAAATTTGGATTTTCACGTACCATAATTACTGCACTCTAAGGCCCCGTTTATTTTGGGTCACTACAACAATTTACGCTTTTAGCGACCAAATTTGGCGACTAAACTTTTTTTAGTCGCCAAAAGTTGTAGAATAGGCTACTAAAATTATATTGGTCGCCGTTGAATTCGATTTTTAGCTACTAATTTTTTTAGTAGCTGTATCTTCATTATTAATGACTTAAATATCTTCATTATTAGTGACTTAAAAAAAATTTAGTCACTAAATATAAACAATAGGCGACTAAAAATTATTTTAGGCGGCATTAGATCATGTTTAGACTACTAAAATATTTGTTAGTTGTGGTATACCAATTTTTGGCTACTGAAATAAATTTAGTCGCCAAAAACCTAGCATAATTAAACTTTGGCGACCAAAGTTTTGGTCGGGAAATATTCATTTTCGGTGACGAAAAATTTTTTAGTCGTTGTAAGGTAATTTTTGCCTACTAAAATTATTTAGTCACTAAATAAAAAACATAAATTTTACTTTTATCTTTGGTGACGAAAAATTTAGTCGGTGAATATTTCTTTTCGGTGACCAAAATACTTTTAGTAGCCAAAATGGTTACTTTTGGCAACTAAAATATTAGTCGCTGTTTGTTAAATGTTGGCTACTAATTAAATTAGTTGGTATAATTAACCTTTGGCGACAAACAACAAGTTTGATCGGCAAAGGTATATAAAATTTTAGTGCGAACATTAAAAGAATGGCACCAGTTCTTCTTAGCATTTTTGAAAACATGGTTCTCTTTTCTCTCTCTCTCACACACACACAACCAGCACTACAAGAAATTACATTTTTCGCAGCGCAACAAAACATGTTGCTAAAAAAGAAAATTCGTCGGCAAAGAGTTTTGCTGACACACCAAGCTACGTTGGCAACCCGTAGGCAAAAATGAGTCGACAAAAGTTTTTGCCGACGAAATTATCATTGCGTTGGTAAAAGTAATGCCTTTAGCGACGAACATAGTCGTCGATAAAATCCTTCATCCATCGTCAGCAATTTACCTTGTGTCAGTAAAAGTCATTCAAATATGATGATTGTGTGACACTTTTTGCGACACAAATTTGCATGGGCAAAAAATATCGCAAAAAATACACTTTTAACAACATAATATGAGTGGGCAAAAATAAACTTTTGACAACACATTTACGTCTGTAAATATTGCCATTTGCTGACGATTTGTTTGTCGATAAAGGTTTACTTTTGGCAACGACAAATTCACATTGGCAAAAACTACACTTCTAGCGACACTATGAGTGGACAAAAATAAAATTTTGGCGACACATTTACTAACAAAAATAATTGAAAATAATTTATATAGTTTTATAATATTTACAAATTTGTAAGAGGTATCCCTCAGGCACCAATATTACAAACTGATAACATTGATATGAAATCACCTAAAGTTGATGTGCAAGCAAAAAAAACACTACTGATACTACTGTTAGAAGCAATGTATAAAACGTAAAAGGGTAAAGTCACTAAAATACCCAAATACATCCAAATTGTGAATCCATATTAGAAACAACAGAAAACAAAATGAAAACGTGAAACTAACAAAGAAAGGCAAAGCGACATGAAAATCACCCACAAACTTATCCAGCAGACCAACGTCTAGTAGCAGCCGCCTCACAGCAACATTGCAGCAGCAGCAGCCCAGCAAGTATAAGTATAATGTTCCCATAGATGAGTACAAAGCCATGCTCCACCCATTTGCCATAAAGCCTAAACAGTCTGACCTCAGTCAGGAGATGTTTTTGCCGATATATCTGACACCTGATGTGTAACCCAACCATTTGCTTCATAGTTCACCTGTAACATTCTGTGACTGAATAAAAACAATATAGTTTATAAAGAATATAGAATGCTTAAATAGAACAATATATCATGGAAAACACTAATCATAGAGTTCATCCTGGGTCTTGACCTACCTAACTACTTTGATGTACAAATTTTATATGCATACATACATATTTTATACTTATTCAGTCTTTCAAAAAAAATAAAAAATACTAAGCTCCAAATGATGGCTTGCAGAAAAAAAAATATACATATATACATAATACCACATGTGATCACACAAAATGAATAAAACAACAGTTCATAAGGACCGTTAATGTTTGATAAGTGAAAGATATTCTTACTTTGGCAGTTTTGCTTCCATTGACTGACAGAGACAAAATGTAATCAAACAAGGGCTCCTGGCACTCATGAAGGTTGCATGGAAGGGAGGGCCAATAGTTCATTTGAAGATTAATATTCAAGTGTTGAGCGCCACTAGAGAGTTAAAAAGGAAAAGGTCACATCAGTAGATACAAAAATACTCATGCTTTTTTTATCAACAGGGAGCAGAGAAATTATGCTACATCAGAAGACTAATATAAAATGAAGTACAGATTGAAAGGCAATATTGCTATTTTTATGGCTTAAAAATTCTATCTTTCCAACTCTCTCTCATCTCTCTTAGAAGCTAATTTCTTAAAGGGGAAGAAAAAAAGAAAGAAGATTTCACTATGCACTTGCATCAAGGAGAAAATTACAAGATACCATGCACAGAGAGAGAGAGAGAGAGAGAGAGCTTACTCCCATGCTGGCTCAATATCCTTGTTCCATATTCCCTGCAAGTTTGCAACTTGAGTTCCAGGCCGTGAACAGGAAATAAGTAGATATCGACCATACTGGGACAAAAGCTCCACTAAAGAGGGATCTTCATCAGTTTGAAAAGATTTCACCCTCTCTGCAGTTGAAACCATCTTATCTTCACTATTTTCTAAAAACAGATCAGTTGCAGAGGACAAATGTTTCTTCCTATCCAAACACCCATTTTCTCCAACGTTCTTTGAGCTTTTCGAAAGCTGCAATGAGATGAGATGAAAAAGGTTTTGATAGTCAACCAAATGTTGTGAATAAAGATCAGCATATGACAAGTTTTTAATTAAATTGAATTTGCTTTGAGACTCTGAAGTAGGATCTTTTTTTCAATCTGAAGGTTTAGTGAATGGCCCATCAAATGAAGATGAAGCTACGAGAAGCATAACAGCCCAATCTGAACCCTCATTCTTCAACTTATTGCCATCCAAAACATTTATAGTACCCACATCACTAATCTGCAAATCAAGAATTGCAGAAAACTGAATACCCTTTGGATTGTCGTTTTCATTCAATTTCGGCGAAATTGTTTTACCGGGGCAACTTCCTTCCATGATAATCTGATTTTTACCATTTACACTCGAATGATGATGTAGTTTGCTGTCTAGAGATACCATAAAGGAGAGAGACCCTAATTTGCTTCCTGAAATCTTTGTCACGATCACTTGATCAGGATTTGAGGCAAAATGTTCCTTCACGAATTCAACTTCACCTGCAGAATATTTCACTTTCGTAGTTGCAGTATCCAAGTCCAGTACTCGTGAATATGTTTCTTCAATATATGGAGCATGAGAATCATCGAATTCTAGCTTGATATCACCCAGAAGTTGGTAAACCTTCACGTCATCATAGGACAATTACAAGGATATAGGGGTAAAGATTATAGAAAATATGAAATTTCACGAAGGATTAGGAATACTACCCATATAAACACTACATACCTGGTAAACAAAGCTTGTGCATCAAATATAGCACAATGTCAATTACAACTTAGATGTAAGCTTGCTTTAACGGATGTAGAAAGGTCCAAATTAACCAAATTTCATGTAAATATCTCTTGGTATTTTATTTGAATCACCTTGGGTGTTCTAATTTTGTTTGTAGATGCTCATTGAAAACTTTCCCATGTACAATGGTGAAAATCCACAACTATATGAGCTTTACAAGGAGATTGTTTAAGTGAAAAATTGAAACAGAACATAGTCAGTTTGCATAAAGTATCCAATCATCCAATTATTGAAGTTGAACCACAGAATTAGTGGTGAATGCTCACCTACCAATAACAACATTGACAAGGCCCAAGGTTTGAATCCTGTTTTTGGATCATGGATTTGGATAGGGATTTAGAAATCCATGAAATCAAAGGTAAGGGGTTTACTGGAGCAATGGTTGGGCGGAGCAACGACATTAATAGCAGTAGTTTCTGGCAATGCGGCAGCGAAGGGAGCAAGAGGACTCTGGACGTGAGCTTTGTGGATGCGCTGGCCATGGATTATTTGGGGGTGGTAGAGAGAGAAAGCCCTAGATTAGGTTCAATAAAAAATGATTCTATCATTTCTATATCTGCAATTCAATATAGATGAATATATACTACATATATATTTTTGTCCTTTTATCATTTTTTTCATGTAAGTTGTAGGATTCTATCGATTTTGTTAGATAGAATATCCATTGGAATCTAATCCAAATAACACCAAACACTAGAATGTGAGTCCCAATAATTAAGAATTTCAATCTTATGCTATAATCTGCCCAATAAGACAGGCCACTAATGTTTGAGCTATCCTCAACTACACCAAATACATTGAACTAATCTCAATTCAAGTCCAAGACATACAAATACATTGAACTAATCTACCTTAACCATTTAAAGTCAAGTTTGGATCTTGGAATTATGAAGAGGAAAGGAAAAAAATGGAAAAAAAAAAATGATAATGACAACAATGATGGAGATAAAGCCTTCACCAAGTCAGGTCTCAATTTCAAAACCTATGTATTTCTTACGAGCAAGATAGAGTAATGATTCATCCCCCCTTTTCCCCCCACCCCCTTTGACCCCCTCTCTCTCTCATTGGTTACCTTTTCTTTTTCTTTTTCTTTTTTTTCCTGCTCCTCCAATCACCCCCTGCCACGTGGCAAAGGGGGTGAGGGGGTGACCCCCAAAAGGGGGTCCCAAGCATTATTCATTTCTTACATGTAGTAAGAATGTAGCACATTCATGTCATCATGCATTTATAAGTTCTAGACAAAAAAATAAATAAAAAATAAAAAAAAATGATAAGTCTGTAACAGACAGCATCTTAATACCCTATCAACTAAAAAATCAGCAAATGAAATAGAGCAAAATGAATATCACAAAGAAATAAATAAGTCAGTTGTGTCCAAACACAATGATCCAAACGGACATAGTAAATTATAGAAAATGTGACTGAATTTTAAGTGGGGGGCGGGGAGTGACCTTCTTAAGTGTTCGATAAATTTCTGTAAAATCACAAGGAGCTATCCTTTTTGTGGATGCTAGCTTAGTTAGCTCAGCAATAGCCTCCTTTCGCTCTGACCACTTGGCAGCTTTCTAATACATAAAAAATGGCAAAATAATTCTAAAAAACACTAATAAATTGGATTTTCCTCACATTAATCAGAAAGCACAATTACAAACTAGAAGTACAACAAATATAAAATTTAAAAGCCAGTGAACAACATGAAAAAAAGATTGAGAGGACTTACCACTCCATCCCAAAATCCTGTCTTCTCTAAAGGAGTCAATATATCAACACGATCAACAAGTTCATACTCGTCAATTTCCTGAGGAGCTGACAAACAACATGGATATCAGGTCCAAGCATTCAATGGAAAAAAATTAATACAGAAATACTTCTAAAAAAATTAAAACAAGCATTCAATGTCGAAATTCAGTACTATTTCTTTCAACTTCATTTCATCCATCAAACTAATGTGGATGTTAATCGATGTAAAAAAGTAAGCAATCGACATACCAGCTTGATTGGAAGATCAGGATCTAAAATGGAAAGTGTAAAATCTTCATTCTATTCTGGATTGATATACTTCCTTATAACATGAGTCTTTAGTTTCTGCAACAAATTGAATATATCAACATCCATGTAATATTTGAAAATTAGGTAACAAAAAGTATACACATTACAAAGAAAAAATATCACATAAAAACTATTTAAACTTCCATATAAAAAACAATGCTATAACAACTTACATAATGCATGCAACTTCAATAACAGAAATAAAACACACACACACACACCCAAAAAAAAAACCATATCATCAAACAATTTTAGCCATATGATCTTGTACATAACGATTTCACAGTCAAAATACATTCAAGAAGTTTCAAAACCTGTTTGATGAAAAAAATAAAAAAACAAATTGAAATTCTTCAGATCAAACTGAGTTTTTAAGATTAACTGGATTTGGGAAAAATCTATACAATACTTGGTCCTGATTTTTGAAAAAAAATAAATAAATGAATAATGACATATATTAGAATGTCTGTAAATGACTGCACATTTACTTACAGCAGCAAAACTCAACCCCATATAAAAAAAACTTGTGTAATTAATTTTTCCCAAAATATAAAAAGAATCTAATTAAGCAAACTCCAAACCAACAAACCTACCAAAAAAGAAAAAGGAAATAATCCAAACCCACACAACCCTTCATCTCTTGCACTTGTTAGTTATAATTCACTCCTTACCACTGCCATAAATAAACCCTGAAGTTTCAAACGCTATACCTCTCTCAAATGAATTGTCTTCATAGCACATGTTCCCAATTTGCACTATATTCTGCTTTCCATTGAAATTTGCAAAATTGTCTGGCATTGATGGATTAATACCAATTCTGCTTCCTCCCTCAGCTTCTCTTATGTCCAGTCTCTTATATATGTCACACACCGAGGACTAGTTAGATTATTCATACGATTCAACTTTCAAGCAAGTTTTGAATACCTTGATGCATAAATAACACAACTGTTGAATTCATTTCAACCAGGTAACTATAAATATGGTTTTCATGATTTTTCTTGCATGATCGTATAAATATAAGTCTGAAATGGAAATCATACAAAATTATTGGAACCATTCATTTATATAACACCCAATTCTGATACATCAAGAAACAGTTAAAAGTAATCACACACATGAATACAATATTTACATATTTCACCTTGAAACTAAGACTACACAACCATATTGCATGACCAGAAAAGTTACAAGAGATATAAGATAGTCACCTCCCCTCAACTACAAATACATAGAAATTAAAGCAACAAATCGCAAAATTACCAAAAAAGACATTATCAGATTTCAAACTATCCAACAAAAATCTACAAAACTCAATTACCAACGAAAACAAACACACACAAAAAAAGAGACAATCTATAGGAACAATTATATGAACCCGCAGTCACATAAATCTAGTCCATGTGAGCTACTACAGAGACAATTTGTAGAAAACAAATATGATGCAACAATATGATTAGCTAAACATATGAGCAAAAAGGAAAAGAAAAAAAAAACAATATCAATGACCATAGATGAGAAAAAGTGGCCATACAAGAAAATTAACAAATTGTAAAATAGAAAAGAAAATATATTTTCCTAATGAAAATAGCCGAAGAGCATCGCCAAAAACAACACAAGCTCAAATCCTAATGAAAACTACTCTATGAAATGTCAACAAATTAGCCAGTAAATTGAGAAAACAAATCAAGACAAGTTATTCTTAAGTAGAATTAAAAATTATTCTTAAGCATCTAAAACTTCCCAATGTCACAAGTTTAATAAAAATTTTAAAGCAAACTAATTTATTAACATCCATAGCAAGTCTTTGTAGCAAAAGTTCACCAGCTCTAGAAGGCAAGCAACAAGGAATCAGAAACCCAAATGTACCACTTTAGTTTGCATGTTTGGAGCCTGAAGCCCCCTGGGGGAATAATTACACAGATCTTTGCAGTATTAGAACCACAGGTGCCTACAGCAGTTTATTCAACCATGCCATAGCCCTACAAGCCAAAAAAATAAAACAATTTATGACCCCCCCCCCCCTCCAAAAAATAAATAAATTGTGAACTAAGAAAAAAGATGAAATACTCATGTTTCAATTGGTTTCCAAGGAAAAACATGGAAGTGATTGAAATTTAGAATCTCATATTATCTCCTTTTTGGACTTGTGTATATAGTAAAGCAGGGGTAAGAGTTAGATATTTTGTAATGACACCAGGTTCAAAGCATGAGGAGAAAATGTCTTCGAATGAAGTGTATCTGGTTGCATGTTGTAGCTTATTCATGAGGTAGACAGATTGAGCACTGACGTATAACCCCTCATCAATAGCCAGAATATCTTGCACTACCCGGGCCTCGGCCAAGGTGAACCCAGACAAAAAAACATCCTCATTGCCGTGTACAATTTCTAGTACTGGTGTAGTGACTTTCGGCGGAGGATGTATAGAAGAATTCCCAAAAACAATAGCTACCCCCTTCCCATGGGGGTACTTCAGCATCTGATGCAGAGTGGAACAGACGGCTTTCACTTGGTGCAGCCGCGGCCGTCCAAAGAGTATGTTAAACGTGGCTGGAACATCCAGGACGTGAAACTCAATATCTTGTTGTGCCGGGCCAACCTACAATTTTATCCGAACTATTCCTATCACTTCCCGACTTGTATTGTCATAAGCCCGAATCACCGGGGCCGTCAGTACAAAGTCTGCTGGCTTCAAGCCAATAGCATAGGCCGTGCGCGACGGGCACACATTAATTATAGACCCGGTATCAACCAAGACGACTGGCATCCACTTCTCTTTACATTCAACAAAGATGTATAGTCGTTTGTTATGCTCAGAGCCCTCAGGCGGAAATTCTTTATCTGTAAAGGTCAAAGTCGGTGAAGTGCCTCCTGGAAAAACCAATCCCACTAACTGCTCTGGAGTTGTGTCAATAGAGAGCTTAGCCTTATCCATTACTAATAGGACAGCTTGTCTGTGCACCCGTGAAGCCATGAGCAATCCCCAAATGGATATGTCCGCCTGAATCTTTTTCAGCTGCTTCAGTACAGCTTCTTCTTCTAGCAGTTTATCCTTTTGTTTTTCAGCTTCCTTATCCTTCCCTGATGCTTCTGGTTGATCCAGGTGCGGGGGTTTAAAATACCACCCACTCCGAGTTATGTGATTGACTTCCTCGGAATACCATGTATCATCTGGCAGATTCTGTCGCCAATCTTCATCTATGTGGGCAAGATGCAAATCATCATCTTCCCACCACATTCCTCCGGTAACTGAAAAACAACTGTCCAGTTCCATTATAAGAATTCCTGTATCCATAACACAATCAATCCCCGTAGGGCCTTTGGCTTTTCTAGCCTTTCGATCATTCTCGATTCTTTCATATTCGAACTGCTTCAGTGTGGCCTCCTGTTCCGTATTGGTTGTACAAATGCTACCCAATTCTTGAGCAAAATTCTTAGTACTGATGCTCTCCAGCAACTTTTCCTTGTCGTGGACCGTTCCAACCGTTGCAGCAACTCCCATTTCCAGCTGTTCCTGATTTGGTTAAGACCCCTCATCAACATCTGGTTCATCGCTGAGCCATCCCATATTGTCTCTTGATCTGTTCATATCAAACCAGCCAATCTGTACATTTCCCAGATCTTGTTCATCGAAGAACTGCATATTACTGATGCCCTCCTCGAGTTCAGCTAAGTCATCCAGTCCCTAGCTTGGTCCATCCTCCTGGACTACGTTAACCTCTATTCCCGTCGACAATTCCACCCCTAGTTTGGCCTAACTAATTGGCGCAATGTAGCAGCACGGGTTATATTCTTCTTCAGTTAAGCTCACGGAGCCCTTGGGCATACCTTTTTCTACCATAGCCACCACCACAGGTTCGGCTTGGGATATGGATGCGCTCATCATGCATAAGTCTGTGCTTTTTGGGATGAACAACGCCAGCTTAGGTAGGTGGGAGGGGGTGATGTATATACTGGGGTCGTATGGAACGACCAGTGTTTAGATAAGGTTTACTCTCCTGGGTGGTAAGGGTTGGTTATGTGGTGGGAGAGGGTTTGTGGTGACGTTAGGCCTTTGAGGAGGCGCTATCACTTTGTTGTCGATGAGATCTTGAATCTCATGACAAAGTTTAAAGCATAGGTCGGTATCATGACCGTGCTGCTAGTGGAAGGCGTAGTATTTGGCCGAGTTGTGTGTAGAAGGGAGGAGATTAGGAAATGGGTGTGGCTCTAGGGGCTTGAGATGCCCGTTTCTGATCAGGACCCTCAAGGCCGCAGATAGAGACATGTAGAGTGCGGTGAAAACCCTCTGGCCTCGAGGTTGGTGCTTTGCAGGTTGTGAGGTAGTTTCAGATGTACTGGCAAATGGGGTGGCTATTTTCAGTGTGGTGGTGACCATACCAACATCAGAAGTCCTTGCAGCTGCATTACTACTCGTAGCCGCATTTGAACTGCATGTAAAAGCCCTCTTGGGCTACTCTTTTTCATGGTCTATCAGACCCTGTTTCATCGCATCCTCTATCTACACCACTATCTCAGGAAGGTTAGCAAATGTAGGTAGAAGTAAGACTATCATCTTTTGTAGTAGCCTCGATTGCAGATTACAGACGGCCATTCTTATCTGGTCCTTTTCAGCTGGCCGGGTGGTCATCATGGAGACCTTGGCCCTCCATCGAGTGACGAAATTGGAGAATCCCTCCTTTGGCTCTTGACGAGTTGCCTCGAGTTCACGAGTTGTGACCTCGATTTGAGTGTTATAGGAATATTCGGTGATAAAGGCCCCGGCCATCTCTTCCCAGTTCCTCTTCACAGAATCCTCAAGTTTAGCATACCAAATGGTCGCGATACCTAACAAGGTCCGATCGAAAAAGGATAACTTTTGCAGTCTAGTTAGCCTCATCAACCGCAGAATATCTGAAAATAGTCGCAAGTGGACCATGGGATCACCCAAGCCACCAAAGCGGTCTATATGTGGCATTTTAAACCTATCTGGCAAGGTCACCGCTGCATCGGTATAGCCATCCTCTATATCTGGGATCAATTTGACACCTTGAGCTCGTTTGAAAAGCTTCTCAAGCTTGTTCACTTTCAGAGCTATAGGGTCGACCTCAAACTCAAACGATGCCTCTGTTGGGTAGACCGGTGCTTTGGAAGTCTAGGGTGGGACTAGCTCTGCCGGAATGTCCGCATTTTCCTGGACATTAGTAGTAGCCCCGGGTATTGGAACCCTGACTGGGGGTGGATGTGAAGTGAAAACTGCTGCTTGTTGTGGTTGTTGTTGCTGTTAAAGCCTAGTGATCAACTCAGCCTACTGGTCCGCTTGGCGGGCAGCATCCAGCTGCATATTCTCGATAGTCTGCTGAAGTTGGCGCATCATATCCTCCATGTTGTCTACGAGGTGCTGATCAGTCAGAATTGATGTGTTTTCCCTTTCTGAAGTAGAAGTAGACAACTGGGTTTGACTGATCACAGGTGGAGTAATTAGTAACTGCTGAATTGGTGACTACTGAACCAGTGAGGTATGTCTAACTCTTCTCTGTCTGGTAACCGGGGGTAGCAAGGAAAACACTGGTTGTCCTCCAATAAGATCCTTAGATCGATAAATCCGTATTAAGTGCTTGGGGGGTACCTGCCTCGTCGGAAGCAATTGTGAAATACTACCTTGCAAAAAGAAAATACAACAAAAGAAACAAAAATCAGAAAACGCAAGCACCTCGACTTAGACAGAGACAACACAGTTGAAATCATAAGCTGGGCGACTGTACTCAGAAACTGATTTCAGCCCCAAATTTTCTACCTCAAAACTGATACCCCCAAACTGATACTCAAACTTGCAACTGATATATACATTCCTGCAGAGTTATACTCTAAAAGCACATATCAAGCAAATGAGAGCCAAAACAACCCTATGGAGGGGTAGGGTTACCCTGTCCTAATCTCGTAAGGAGCTAGGGATTCACCATGCAAAAAAACGATATCATACAATCCTGCATTCGGGTGAGCAACCTGTCCTAGTTTGGAACAGTCTCTATGGCTTCCGATATGCAACTAGGCTGATTGGTCGAAAAGGGTACCTCAGCAAGACCACCTAATATACCTCTCGCTCCTAACACCGAGAAGTGAAAGGATATTCAAACGGTACTGCGGTAGTCCAGATCCAAGGCTTGTGTTCCTATCGTGACAGAGCCCACAACTGGTCAACCTTATGGCACACTTTTACACGCGAGCATCTAGCAAACCGCTCAGGAATAGTAGATGGAAAACACTGTGACTTAGGCGCGCCGATGCAAATGCAATGCAAAGAAACACATAAGTGTAGATAAAACAATATATCATGAGTTCGAGTCAAGTTCTCTAATTTCCCAGCTGAGTCGCCAGAAACTATAGCTTGACTTTTTCGCGCCCCTCTTTTCGGAGAGCTCAAATTGGTCCTACAGTTCGGACTCCTGTCACGGTTTTGAATCTAGTTTCACAAGGTACAATGTGAAATTAATAAACACCAAAGAGTCCAATCCGACAAATCATTTTGGAAAATCGATTATAAATCAAATAATGCCAAAACTAGACTGCTTTGCCAGATTACAGAGTCATCACTTAAATATTTTGTTTTTGGAAAATTTACGAAACCCTGACTCGTGCCAAAGGCCACGTGTTCATCATCACCAAAGTTGCCTCGGCTCAAGAACTTGGGTACAAGAGGGGAAGGTCCTAAAATGAGCACCCCGCTCGCCCGATCAAAAGATCGGCCTCTACTATCATGATATGTTGTTTTATAAACCTCATATGTTCTTACTCCGATTATTAGTTAACTTTACTATGTGACGCACACAAGCAAGTATAGACTATGTCGCGAGATTTGGAGCGAATTCAACTCATGTTTGTTTTTGAAAATGGTTTGAATTTGTCACCCTCCAATGGGCTTAGAAATGCGGATTTGCCACCTCAAGTGGGCTTAAAACATGATTTTGCCACTTCGCAAAGTGGGCTTAAAACTTACATTCGTTGAATTGTTCCAATTCAAGCAACAAAGCCTTCATCCACAGGCATTCATGCAGTTTAGCATATAAGCACATAGCCTCATGGCAAGCATGCGAAACATGGCAATATGGAAATCACACTCATGCAAGTATGCTAAAGCATAAAACTCACTGAGTGCTCCAAGCCAAAACAAAAAGCTAGTTAGAAAAATGCATGATCCTAACTATACAAGATGCCTAATGCAACACATGCAATAATGCAATTAATAGGCTCGGCT